CTGCGGGGACACGCCCTTTTCATGCCAACGGAAACGTATGCCGTCACGCAAACCCTGCTAGTCTGACAGGTGACGTTTCAAATCCGACACTTATAAAATATACGTCATTGTGTCAAGCAAATTTTGTGACAACTCCTGACGACTGCTGGCCGCTTCACAGGCAAGGAAGTCATCATCCTGCGACAGGGACAGGCAGGTGCTCATCTATAACCCTTGTCTCCAGGCTGGGATGGCTCTAAAGGCGAAAAAAACAGAAAGAGCTCATGTATAACTGTATTTTTGTCATGCTGCCCGTCTACCGTTCTCCTCCTTACCTATGAGTAATACGTAAAAGCGGTTCTGAAGGCGCTGATGTGATCTGTTTTGTGCGTGCCTCCCAGCCCTCGGTAGGTCTGTACAACCGGGACCGGTCTCTGGTTACGTGAATCTCGACCTCATAGCGAAACAACCAAAACAAAACTGGTCTTTTTCATTGATCACAGCGTCAGTTACATACACTCATTAGGCCTTCACCACATGAATAGGTGCAGAGTAAACAAAACACAGCTGGCTAGCCATAAAGAGACTTTTCCCTTCACACTATCACAGGAAAGGGCTGAAACATTAAATCAGTAAGAGGGTCAACAACTGCTTGCTGTCATTAAACTTCGGTAATTTAAAAGGTTAAACTGTAAGAACCCAGACAACGTTCCCGCAACTCTTCTGGATGCCAGCCTACTTACTTAACTAAAGGTAGAAAATCATTTAAAAATAAGAAACATCACCCACATTCCAGGTTACTTGTATGAGCTATAGGCTTTACCCAGAATAAATACTGCCAGGAGATAAATAAATTCGCTCTTGCCTTTTTTTTTTTTTAAACACAAGAACACAATGCCTGCTGCATTTTTGTCTCCTGATAGCAGGTATGACTTTTTTTTCTTTTATCAACCATTTAGGTAAGTAAAAATAATTGCTTTTTAGATCAATGAGGAAAAAGGTGGTTTAAACAACCAAGCTGCACACAACTCAGATTAAAACAAAAAAAACCGTGAGTTACCTTCTCTCTTAACTTTGCCAACCTTTTGTCGTTTCTCAGCTTCCTTAGCTTGTTTTTGTAGAATCCTTAGCTCCAGTTTATGTAGATCCTGAAACGTACAATGAGTAAAAAGGCAAACTTTTCTTTGGAAGTAAAACAAATCATATGAAAATACATATGCAACCTTTTCACAGTTACTTTTTTTTGTTTTGAAATTATTTTGTCATAGTACAGAATAAAGTTACACTAGGTCACTACTTGCTATAGCTTGTCCTGCACAAACAAATTATAGTTACACAGTTTTGGAAAAAAAAAAAAAAAAAAAAAAAAAAAGAGTATTGTAGTAGTTTAATCTCTGTTTATAAAAAATGAACTCTAGTGTGAATGATGACACTAATATCAGTTCTCCAGTAATCAGATTTACATTGATACAGGATCTAACTTGACATTACAGCTACTCAAACTTGCAGGATATTCAAACATCTCTTTTTATTTCATATCTGCATACAACAATCAGGTCTTCTGTTGTTTTTATAGCATAGAGAGTGATGCAGCCCAAGCTGTTTTTCCCAAATATTTTCACATTGAAGTAAATAAAACCACTTCTATATGTAGAAAGAAACATGGGCTTGAATAATCCTGTAGAACTTGGATATCAAGGAAAATGAACATCTTTGTCTAAAATAAAGTTTCATACTCTTTCTTGTATGTAACAGATGCTGTTATTCATAGTGAATCAAAAATAGATTTAAATGAATGAAACTTGGATTTTAAAAAGTGTTTAACAGATTATATTATAGGAGGAAGAAGGCAAATTTAAAACAACAAGCATAAATGGAGATGTAATTACACACACGCTTTTGAAACTTAGTAATTTCCTCTGCAGCAATTCTCTTCCTTTCCTCCTTTTCAGCTTCCTCCCTCTTCTCCTTTTCAAGCTTTTCAAGTTCCTCCTTTTCTTTCTTCTGCAACGTATGCCTTTCCAACAGTAACTTCATGTGGCATTGGTGCTGATGTTCTTTTTGTTGCTTTTTCTCCTTCTCTTCTTGTAGTTTTAGTTGTGATGCTTGTTCCATTGCAAATGCTATTGCTTGCTGTTTCTTCCATGCTTCAATTGCTGCTTGTTGTCTTTTTCTTTCTTCTTCTGCTTTTTGCTTCTGAGCTTCTTCATGTTGTAGCCATTCCTCCTTGAGCATTTTTTCTGATGTCTCTTTCTCCTTTAAGTTTCCTTCTTTGTCTTGCTGCTGCTTTTCTTTCCACTTCTTAATTGACTGCAAAGGAAAAGCAGGAAAAAGAAAAAATGTTTTCATGAAAATTTTACACATTCGTGGTGATTCAGTCTGATGAAAATGTATGCTCCAAGGATACAAACTCTGACAGGAATTACACATCTATTAAAAGCAAAACTTAAGGCAAAGAACCACCTATGTCTGCTTTCTCACAATTTTTTTTCCCTATTGTATGGATCTCACAGGCAGGTTTAATACATGCCTGCTAAAATTATTTAAGTTACAGCACTCATATTAACTTTGGGTAGTTATGAATGTTGGTGTAATATGCTTTTTTTTTTCCCCCAATGCAAACACATTTCAGGTCTTAATTTTTTTGTTCAAAATAACAATTCCACCTACTATTTTATAATTCAGTTTTTATGTCAGTGTATCTTTTATTACTCAGATGGATAGTTCTTGAAGGAATCATAATTCTCTACGTCAGTGTGGCATAGGTATATTGCCTATATGGTGAGACAGACATTCTTAGGGACAGATGTAACAAGAACTGCAATTTCAGATAGGATCACTTACTGCTGTGGGACTGGCATCTAACTTGCTGGACCACTGCCATCAAAAGCATTTATAATATACTTTGGCAATACACAGCCCGCTTCAGTGTGTTGTTAGGTCTATGCTTATTGGTAATTCTTTAAAATATTTTTGGTAAGTTGCTAAAGACTTCAGTTATACCATCAACTATAACAGAAATCCACCGAGCACTACCACCAGAAACAAATACAAAAATAAGAAACGCATGCATTTTAAAAATAAGTACTTTTTCTTAAAGGTACAAAAGGCCTAGAAGGGTTATTTTACCTCTTTCTTTCGTTCGTGTAAAATTAGAAATTCTCGATACCATTTGTCATGCTGTTCAATATCTTCTTTTGTTCTTCCACAGAGATACTCAAGGGCTTCATCTATGTAAGACAGCCTTCCTTTGTGTTTTGCCCATACTTTCAGAAAATTTTGATGATCATAATCATCCCAGCCTCCTTGCCACCCTCCTGTTTGCTGAAGAAATCTTTCAAACTCTACTACTTCTTCAGGTAGATGATTTTCCATTGTTTTATCGGCTGAGACCCTGGCTGATGGTAATTTCAAAACTTTTTCTGTTGTTGAGCTGCCTAACACCCACAGTTCCACTTTTCTCTCAAAGACACTAAGCTCATTAATGGCAGTTTTCTCCTCCTTCAAAAGCTACTCATATCTGAAAAGAGAACAAACATTGAAATTATGAAAAAAAAAATCCAGTATTCATTGTTCATTCACCAAAAATGAATTCTGGAATTGTTCAATGAGACACAAAAGCTATTCTTCAAAGATTAAGAACTGAAATGGGAACACAGATGACAGCATGGTTGTAATGTTCCCATAATGAAGCACTACACAATCAGAATTAAGTTACCCTTTTAGTGAAAACACACATTTATGGCACTCAAACAACTAACTCAATCCCCTCCTGACACCAGTAGAGAGAAAGGGGAAAAAACATCCCAACCCACTTAAAAAAAACAACAGTAACAAAAAAAAAACCTACCCCAACACCACAAATTTCTTCTGTAGCCTTTCTCTGAAAAGCCTTTTCATAGGCAAATTATTGTAACATTGGATCACTGCAATAGCTATATAAACAGCCTCTCTTAAAGGCTGTTTATCAAGATTCTAATGTTGATAGCTTGAGTTTTGACTTATATACCACAGGAATCACTAGGAAAAGAGTAAATCAAAAGAATAGTTTACTTGATTAATGCAAAGTTTTCATTGTGTCTTACGAAAGCACTTTTTCTTGTAGCTGATAAACATACATTTGTCTCTGTTCCTCTTTAAAAACATTGATTGCAGTTTCAACTTCTTCCATCATTTCCTTGAGCTTGTCAACAACTAAAAAGGAAAAGAAGAAAAGAGCATATCCCTTAAGAAGTCTACAGTACTTAGCAGTAATTCAGCACTATCCAGAAATGTGGGCCCTTGCCGAGACTTCTGGAACACTTTTATTTAAGTGTACAAAAAAGCATGCATTTCTATCTCAGCCTTAAAAGACAGACTCTTTATTTATTCAAAAGGTGTGATTTCAGTGATTTAGCTAACTGGATGCAAATGCCAGTAAAAATGTTCATTTCCATTAAACAAATCTCATTATGAGTAATCTTCAACTGATTCACGCAGTAAGACTGCCTTATCCTAAAGTTTCCACTTTTTTTTTTTTTATAACAATGCAATTAGTGACTGAAGAAGCACACTTAAATCTTTGGTTTATACCAGGCTGTGGCAATCCGTTTCCACCGGGTCACTACTTTTACAAAGCTGACAAAGAAACATCAAAGTAAGACTTTATCCTGTTCTGTCAGCATGGTGTAGTCCTGATGCAGAGAAAGACGGTAAGACAACTGTCTAGAGAAGATCTATTTTGCAATGGTAGAAAAAAGTTTTAGAATCCGTTTTGAACCAGCACATCTCTCTGGAAACATATTGAACACATAGTTTAACTACCCTGGGTTTAAAAAGTAATAAACTAAACTGTTACAGTTATATCACCTAGAACTCTTAGTTCAGCTTTCATGCCTTGTTAGTTCTTGGATTCTTCGCTGACAGCTCAAGAAGATAATGCATTTTTTATAGAATAGACACTGAATAAATGAACTAAGATGCACTTTATCTAGCATCAGAAAGCTCTGAGCTAGTGGGAGGGCTTCAACCTGAGCTCTAGACAAGGTAGTAGAGTATCACAGGAGAACGGTTCTTTCAGTGCCTGTTTCCCGAAAGTTTCAAAACATCCAAACTGAATGAGTTGTTTCAGCATTTTCCACAGAATATTCCAACTTACACTGCAAGCCACGTGGACAGGTAGAAATGAGTTCCCCATAGATCCTTCTCTGTGACCTCTTACCAGATTAAAGGGAGCTATAGCTAAATGGCACTAGGATACTAATGTCATTTTACGTAAGGCAGAGTAAAATATATAAAATACCTGGCTTTCAACAGCCTGAAGAAACAAACCCAGACCACTTCTAAGACAGAGTAAGTTTCTCTGTTTCCACACAGAACTGCAGAGTCTTTCACCATTTCTTACATTTCTGCATTCTTCCCTTCCCAGATTCCTGGAAAAGCAGACAGACTGGAGAAGGAGTATCTCAAGTCTGCAGGAGAATCACAAGCCCAACTATGCAAGAAACCTGTTTATAGAAGAAAATGTTTTTAAATCTGTCATCATGACTTACATTCTGGTGTAGGCTTCACATCTTTTAATTGTTGCTTAAGTCCCTTCACATTATTTTGTATTTTTGATAGCTCCTGCAGGATTTTAGCTTCTGTTAAACAAAATAAGATGTTGATAATTCTAACAGTTTCTTTGTGCATTAAATTCAATGCAAGAACAAGAGCAACAAAATATCCAAAATAAACTGCTGAGATTTCGTCTCAGCAGGGAGACAAATTCTGTTTGATCATAAGAAACTACCATAATACTAAGCATTTTAACATGACTGTAACTGCAGGTAGCTGACTGCATGGGCCATGCATCTTCCCACATAGCATCAACAGATTTTAAAATTAGTATCTCTTATTTCTAAAGGAGTAAACAGGATAGTCATAGCTAGATTATCAGTTTGCCTCCCCCCTCCCCCCCGCCCCCCCAATCTTTTACCAGGTAACTGGAGTTTGAAGAATATTGCCTAGGCAGATAACACCTCCTCTAGAATTTTGAGGGAGACTCTGGCCTAGGCCTCAAAACACTCAGTAACAAAGAGAAAACAAACTTGAAAAGTGTATGTGAATGTACTACTTCAAGGACATTTATTTATGTGCTGTGTTAACTAAAGTAGAATCAATGTTTTCGAGTACTCCAAGCATGCATGCACTTACTTGCTTGCTTTTTTACCACTTGGCTACTCATGAGTTCATAAATACCACACTGATGAGAATGAAGTTCTGGATACATCTTAGGTACTAAAGAGCTGTATCTTCTATCCTAAAAGATTTGGTTTAAGGAAGGGATAAGAGGGTCCAAGACCTAAACATAACAGAACGTAGCTAAGACATGACCCTACTAGTTCCTGCTTAGACCACAGAAAGTGTAAAAGCACACAGACCATGCTGAAAGACCTGAACATAGTAAATGGGAAATTTGGGGGTTCTAGTACACACCCTAAAAGAGCATACTTAACACTTCTTCATAGCTCACATGTAGTGCCTTACAACTCTCATCTTTGTCCTCTTCATTATCTTACAACAGTATCTCCAACCGTACTTCCATGCTCCCTTCTTACTCCTGGAAAATTTTCTGAACTTTTCAGTTTAGTCGTTCCTTGGCAATATTTACATTTCTTAAGGATTGCAAGAGGTAAATGATATGGTAAATTTCCGTAATTAAAATATGCACATTAAAACACATAAAAATTTATAAGGCAAGTATATTTTTAGTTGTCTCTACATGTTCTTTGCCTCCTTCAACTTACTTTGTTTTGATCTTCTCTATTGGAAGGCAAAGCATGATTTATTTGATTACTTTTGAAAGAATCTAGGTACTGTGACCAGGGAGTCACTTTTTGTTCTTGAAGTACTTAATTACTCTGTAAGTGGAACAGATCTTGTAGGACAGACTGTGTACCATCTCACAGCACTATTTAGACTATGTGAATACTCATTATCCATGAACCTAAGAAACGCAAACACAGGACTATTTAAAAGTATATTTAAAGGCAGCAATCAGTGTGTGAAAACTTATGTTGTAGAAAGTATATATTTATTGTACCTTAGCTAGACTACATTAGATTTTGCAATACACACACAAAATTGATCCCAAGTTTCTAAAACGGTAACTTTCCACCGAAGTTGTTCCCGGTGGCATCTGCTACATTCAAGATTGAAAGAATACAATTAATACCACAGAGGGCCCAAAATGTTTATGCTTCTGAATTTTGCAAGTGAATTGTGGAAGTCTTCTTTATAAGCAGTACATATGGTGAAATACCACACTTGCTAACAGCTACCTTCCACCTGAATTAATCTCTCTGTACTACTGATTATTAAACCATTCAAACAAACAAGAGTTAAAAAAAAAAAAAAGGAAAATAAAAAACCCAAATAAAACCCCACTTACTTGCTGACAGTCATGCTATGTTCCAGGTCCTCTAGTATGCTGTATTCTACCCTGAAATCACTCTTCCTATTGTAAAGAGATCCATTTCCGTCTTTTTCTATATTTGCAAGCCTGGAAAGAAAGGTTGCCAGAGTAAGACATGAATATGTGGCAAAGCCCCAAGATTTTCCAAGGTTAGTATCCAGCTGAGGCTGTGTCAACAGGACTGTCTTAGGTTTTATACAAATCACAGTTTTGTTCCTACAGCCGTTTTCAAGGAAAAAATCTTTCTGCAGTTGTAAGAACATACCAAAGTAACCCAAGAACTTGAAGAAGAGAAAGAAGTTAACAAGGAAATTACCCCGCTGACAGGCAGTGGTTCACACACTGAAATGGTCTGAAATTTTATCTGTATGCTCACTATCAAGGAGCCTTATGAGAATTTTCATTGGAAAGCACAGGACAGAGACAGGCTGTATTAATGGAGTTGCACACATAGAGGGAGCCGCAGCACAGACAAAACCATTCCCTCAGCCTTAACACTAGTAACAGTGCTACTGCAACTGAAGATTCAAATTCGAGTTAATTAGCATTTCTAACTTAAGATATTAAAGCTGCTAACTTACTTACTGACTATACTTCATGTACAGGACCAAGAGCTATAGGTGACTTTTGCTTTCTTACTAAGGTCAGAAGCTTTAGAGTACAACTCAGGGTGGGATGTGCTTTGCTTTACTACAATGAGGCAGTATACTAGGGTATCTGTGAAGTCTGGTGCCATCACGTTAGAGATCAGAACAGCAGGACACTGCAGCCACACAGTACAGAGACATCTTGTAGCGTTCCCAACGTTAAGCAACACTACTGACAGCCCAAGAAACTGTGTCTCTCAGTAGCAGCTTAGTTCTTCGGCAGACTATTGCTGCTACATGGTTTAAAGCCCTATGTAGTGCAGTTTATGACTCACAGTTTAAATGCTTTGCTGTCCATGGCAATTCGCAGACCAGACTCAAGTACTAAATTTCCCCACACAGTGCCCTAGAAGCCTTCAGAGCACGACTACAGAAGGACAATGTACCATAGTTAAATGGCATGCCTTGTTTGAAGCTGCTTGGGATGTCTACATTACTCAGCAGTCAATTTTTGAGCCATAACCCAGGTTCCAGAATAACCCAGGAGGAGCTGATTCAGTCAGACAGCATAAAACACTGCTATGAGGCTTAAGTGTCACTGTTCATTCAGGATTCACAACTACAGACCTCTCATTCAGCTGGGTGGCTACATCAGCTTTTCCTCATAAAGGTCATCCATTCAAGAAGAAACCTCCCTGTTCTTTCAGCTGTTAGCATAGCTGTTTCAGCACATACACAAGATGTGGGAAAACAGATTTAAATTACTTCTCTGCCTCAGCTGTCTTGAGCCACCATTTTCCAAAGCAGTGGTCTAGATATTCTAGATGAAGTGCTTTCAGTCTTCTCTGAGGAAGCTATTGTAATGCTGCTGCAATTCCCCTTTTGTTGGTATGTCTTAAGGGCGTTAGGTCCTTAGAAGGGTAAGCACAGCTGAACAGGAAAACTGAGAACTCATTTATGTCACAGGTACTTTATTTTTTGTGCATCTAGTGCAGAAGACAACTGACCAAAGTCCAAATGGTAATTAGAACAACAAGGCATTTTGGAGCTCATGAGCCTATGCTGAACTACTCTTAACAACCACAATAATCTGCCTAAGCTCCTGAAAAGGCAATCTTAGCCCGAAGTTTCATTACCAGAAATTCTTACCTTGAACCTTGAGTTACATTACCTCCATAGCAGCATGGAAATATAGTTATGATGAAGTGTTTAACTTACTGAGCTTTTAGCTTTTTTGCAGTTCTTATGAATTCAACTTTCTTAGCTTGTTCAGCTCTCATCTTCCAGTTCTGAAATTGTTGACCAGCACCTGCAGTACTGGAACTGCTGTCATTCTGTACGTAACAAATTCAAATATTATTAAAAAGCAATATTTATTTTTTAAATGCTCATTGGATATTTTTAAGTAGACAACACCACAGTCCAGAGTAACAGCATTACTTCAGTTTCATACTGGCGCAATTTTAAGTCACACAGGTATTAAACTGGAGCAATCAGCAATGGCAAGCTGATGACTGTATACTAAAATGCATTCAACAGAAAAATGGAAAGACTGCTACATCAGCTTGCTTTAACAGAGGCTGCTCACCACACTGCAATACTAAATCAAGGCGACTGCCTTGCCTCTCACGGCAGTCAGTCTCGGACCAGTCGGAGTAACTACCTACCTGACTACAAGCATGGGATCTACACCAGGCAGTTACCCCCACTTCATCTTGTTCAAGAAAAGCACTAGTTTAACTTCTGAAATCTGTTTAATAACCCTTGCAAATTGCCAACTCTTCATAGCAACCCTGAGCATCCTTAACATAAACACTGCTAGGAATGCAGATGACGAAGTCACCTACTCAGGTTATAAAGCCACCATTTTGAGGCCAGCCCGACAAACCAGCTCTGCTTCCTACAGGTTTCTTTTTAACGTTTATCCCTACACCTTGTATGAGGCTGGAATTCTTCTGCGGCCGCCTCCCGGCGCCCCCGCAGAAAGGGGCTCCCCTTGGCCGGCGGTAAAAGCCGGCGGGCTGGGC